ACAAAGTCTGTCACGGCCTCCACGTTTTCTCCCTCTATTTTCCAGTTGTCAATCATTCTTGTTGCCATAATCTTGGTTTTTTTTTTTGACGTTTAGCTGCAACCCGGCTTTTGCGCTTTCTTCTTTCACCTTGATTAGAAGGCTCCTCAGCTCCTCCTCGCTTTCGGCCATCAGAGTGGTGTCATCTGCATATCTGAGGTTGTTAATGTTTCTTCCAGCAATTTTCACCCCAGCTTTGCATTCATAAAGCCCCGCACATCGCATGATGTGTTCTGCATACAAGTTAAAAAGGTTGGGTGAGAGGATGCAGCCTTGCCGTACGCCTTTCCCAATCTTGAACCAGTCTGTTGTTCCGTGGTCAGTTCTTGACTGTTGCTACTTGGTCCTTGTACAGATTCCTCAGGAGAGAGACAAGGTGGCTTGGTATGCCCATCCCACTAAGAACTTGCCACAATTTATTATGATCCACACAGTCAAAGGCTTTAGAATAGTCAATGAAGCAGAAGTAGATGTTTTTCTGAAACTCCATGCTTTTCTCCATTATCCAGCGGATATTGGCAATTTGGTCTCTCGTTCCTCTACCTTTTCTAAACCCAGCTTGAACATCTGGCAACTCTCGCTCCATGTATTGCTGGAGTCTTCCTTGCAGGATCTTGAGCATTACCTTACTGGCATTATATTATTAGCATAGCACAATATTAGTATTAAATATTACATTGTTAAATTGTTGTCTAGTGGCATCCTAGTCCAATACTGTTATATTTCACTGGAAATTTAAGTTATATGCATACAGCACAAAGTTGCATGCCTACAGGTGTATGTATTTTGGATCTGAATACAAATATCCCAAAATATAAGTTTTCACAACCCAAATAAGTTATATGCAAAGATTGTATGCATTTTTACTGTTTTTAGTACAGAAAGCAAGATGGATACTCAGGGTAGTGAGTTGTCTTGTTCCCAGTTGATTAGTAAGGCAACCCATATTCCTGTTGGTTAACTTCCACCTTCATAAGTGCCTGTATGGTCACACTTCAGAGATAAAACCCATAAAATAAATGTGTGTCTTTTAAATCCTAACACTCTCCTCTTCCTCCTTCAGATCACTCAAATGAAGATCGAGAGTAATCCTTTTGCAAAAGGCTTCAGGGAGAATGGGATGAATAGCAAAAGGTAGGAAGAATTCAAACATCATAGGGACTTATTGCGGTTTCCACCTTGACTGGTAGCAAATTGTCTCTTCCAAGTATTGGCTAGTGCTAGTCAGAACGGTATTTGAGGAAAAGATTGTCTTGACTAGAAAGAACTAAAATGTATGAAACTCGTGAGCATACTAAGCTTCCACCATTGTTTTGCCACTTCTTACTATAGCCCTTATTATAACATACAGGGAACGTGAAGCGAGAATCAAGAGGAAGATGAAAGCGAATGAATGCGAGGCCAATGTTGTAGAAAATGGTAAGAAAAGCATACATCATTTATTTTGTAATTTCATATAGAAAGTGTGAATGACTCTCATTTAGCCTGTTGGAAAGGATTTAATTTGCCATCTAGTCCAATCCCCTGGTCATAGTCTGCCGTGCACTCATCATATAACCTTACCAAAGGGCCATTATCCTGTGAATCTCACAAGTGCATATGATTAAATCTCAGACTATTTCAAACAACATACCAAAGAAGTTAAATTTGGATTTTTAAAAAGAGGCTTATTCTGCCATTCCCAGGCATCCCACATTTTTCACATCAGTTGCAGACCATAAACATTACGTATCCCTTTGCTTTGATCCCCTTTTCAGTTCCGACCTTCTATCTTTTCTTCTTTCCCACCTAGAGAGCAAGAAAGGCCCTTGCGATTCCACTCTGACAGAGGAGGCACCTCTGGAGTCTCAGCAACCCCCTGGGCTTTCACAACCTTCCTGCTCCTTCTACCCGCCGGCAGGGACCAATCCAGGTGGTGCCGAGGCTTACCTGCAACACCCAGCTGCGTTCCATGGTTTACGAGGGGCATCATCACCCTACAACAGGTGAGCACAGAACGCTGCTTCTCTTCTCATTCCCAATCAATCAGTAAGCTAAACAACATACCTACTGGTAACTTTCCACCTTTGGAACATGGGCTTCATAAAAATGGGGAGAAGGAAACAAGAGCAAAGGAATAGACATATCCAAGGCGAGACATTCTGGTTGCGGAATTATGGAAACTATATTCTAAGAAATTATCGTATATACTTATGTATATACAGTATCCAAATATAAGCCGAGACACCTAATTTTACTACAAAAAACTGGAAAAAAGTCAAGTATAAGCCAAGGATAGAAAACGCAGCAGCTACTGGTAGATTTCAAAATAAAAAAAATACCAATAAAATTACATTAATTGAGGCATAACTAGGTTAAATGTTTCTGAATATTTACATAAAACCATAATTTAAGATAAGACTATTCTGATTAAGCCATTTTTTAACCTTCTTCCATGTAAATGTGCTTACGTTTCCTTCCAATAATAAAAAAATAAAATAATAAATGCAATAAAAATAATAAATGAGTAAAATAATGAATGTAATAGTAATAACAGAGTAAAATAATAAATGTAATAATACAGTAAAACAATTATAATAGAGCAATAAGAGTAAAACAATTATATTATTATATACAATATATTATATTAGTATAAACTGCATTAAGATCACTCTAACCAAAAGGTCATGAGTTCAAAGCCAGCCCGGGTCGGAGTGAGTGTCTGACCAATTGTGTAGCTTGTTGTCGACCTTTGCAACCCGAAAGACAGTTGCATCTGTCAAGTAGGAAAATTAGGTACCACCTATGTGTGGGGAGGTTAATTTAACTAATTTATGAGGCCATAAAAAGACTTCAGCAAAAAGCACTCCAGCAAAGCATGCGAGGAATGCGGAAGTACTTCATCAGATGGACGATGAAAGCGACAGCTCCCCTGGCAGCCAGAAAAAGTTAAATAGCCTCTGTGTATCTCTATATGTGTTGTATGTCTAATTGGCATTGAATGTTTGCCGTATATGTGTACACTGTAATCCGCCCTGAGTCCCCTGCAGGATGAGAAGGGCAGAATATAAATGCTGTGTGTATGTGTGTGTGTGTGTGTATATATATATATATATATATATGATTAGCGTAGGATAATAATTACATGTAAATGTAATAAGAGTAAAATAATAAACAATAATAAAAATAATATAATAAAATAATACATAACCTTGATTCTAGGATAAGCTGAGGGGGGCTTTTTCAGCCTAAAAAGGGGGCTGAAGAACTCAGCTTATACTCAAATATGTATGGTAACTTTTCCAAGTCCTGTTTATACATAAGCAAGAAGCTCACATAGAATAAATATGAGGAAACGAAAGCAAATATACAGAAAAACGTGAACTTATTTGTTGGATTGCACAGTTGTATACACAAACTCAGAGGGTAGGAATGACCAGCCATTGATGCCAAGTTAGAATCCCATCTCTGCTTTGAGTGTTTGACCTACCCTATCTTTTTCCACAGCCCAAGCCAAGAAATGGCAGCTCCTCCGTCTTCTCCTGCTGCCAAATCGCCTCCTGAGCAATCAGATTTCAGAGCAATGCTCCCAACAAGTTGGAACGGCTTAGATATCATTCCTTTTCTTGGAGGGACCGAACCACCAGATGCCTCGTCCTTTCCCCCTTTTAAATTCAGCTTTGCACCCTACCCACCTCCCCCACATGTCTATGGCCCAGCTTCTGGCTATCCTGGCTCTCAGCCCCCCATGCTATAACACCTGTTCCTCCACAAAAACCTGGAATTCTGTCTGCCAGGTATTGCCTGCAATCTTTTGTGGTGTTTTCTCATTTCTTTATTATTGTTCATATTGTCCTGGGTAGCAGTAAAAGTGTTTGTATCTTGTTTATCTTCTAATTAAATCCCTGTAAGATTAACATTCTGTATACATTTATTTGTTCTTCTCCATGATAGGTACAAGAAATTCAGAGCAATAAAGCTCCAGACAAGGTTTTGCTTCTCTGCAAGATAAAGGTTTACTCAAAAGCTTAGTTGGTTTTAGTTATGCCCAAGAAAGCTTCAGTAATTATTTTCTGGAATGATAAAAAAAAATCAAAGATTTAATCTTTTCCTTAATTGAATTTGATTACTTAAAGCAGGTTTTACAATTTTCTTAGCAATTAATAAAAAACCTAGATCAAAGCTATCATGATACTAATTACACATCTTCTAATTAAATGCCATGATTATGATAAGCAAAGTTATGAATATGGAAGTTAATGTAATCACTCATATTGTGCTGGAGGTACTGTATATATAAACTGTATGAACAGTTTCCCCCTAGCTGCTTTAAACACAAAAATAAGGAAGGTCAACAAACAAAAATGTGGGAAGATAGAAGAAACCTGAACAAGAAGTCAGCATATAATAGAGATTCTATTTTTGATGAACTGAAACTTTTCAGAATTAAGAACTGATTTAATGTGTTTCTTCCTTGTAATGACATTTCTATCCATGAACAAACTATGGTTTATATTGTTGTTATTGATACTGTTGGCATTGCCTGTGTTAGCCGCCCTGAGTCCCCCCTCAGGGGTGAGAAGGGCGGGGTAGAAATGGTGTAAATAATAATAATATCAACAACAACAAATTAAACGATAAATACTAAAGGGAAAGATTTTCCCCTGACATTAATTCTAGTTGTGTCTGACTCTGGGGGGTGGTGCTCATCTCCATTTCTAAGCTGAAGAGCCAACATCTGTAGACACCTCTAATGTCATGTGGCATGACTGAAGGCCATGAAGATTCCCACACCTACATGACCCACTACCTGGAAGTCTAGAGACGACAGAAACTTTTCTTTTGAGTCGTGACCTCTGCAGGAACCGAGCTGATTATAAAGGCAATGAGAAAAGTGGGGATTCAAGTTATGTAGAATAGAATAAACATTTCTGCAGCACTTACAAACCACATGGCAAGAGAAATATACAATACACAATGTGTCTGTTTTTTTCTGAGTTTTATTAGAATTTTTTATCTAAAATTGTAAATAGGAAAAAAAACCCAAATGAAAATAAAATAAAATCAGAGTAAGAGACATATCATAGAGATGAGAGGAAAAAGCCCCTCCTAGACATGGGGAAAGTGGCAGGAAGTTCCCTCTCCCTTTAATTCTAAAATATCTGGATTGAACATCCCTTCCTAAGAATGAAGAGAAGAGAGATTCGAACCTGCATTTGGATAGGATTTGGAGACACTATCCCCACAAGGAGCCAGATATTGTAAGGAGAAAAGATAAGAGAACATACCCTATTGGTCAAATTGATTGCTGTGATATGGTCCCAGTCTCCTCAGTTCAGGGAGAAGGGGGCAGGAAGGAGGAAAACCAGTATACGGATCTGCCAATAAAATATTTAATAAATTCATCATACTTGAATGAATTCTATAGAAAAATCTGGAACCTCCAATTCCCTGAAGGACTACTACATGTTGAAAAATCAGGACTTTCTAGTACAGTAAGTTGGAGACAGTCAAATATTCTACTGGCAAAAAAAAAACACTTTTTAAGGAGGACAATGGGAATGGAGTTGGCGGCACACAAAGGAACCACTAACCTAGATCACTCTACATCATGTATTTTAATTCAAAGTGCCAAGAAACCAAGATGTCAGGTCTTCCAGCAACCAGACAATGTTTGAAGCACTTTCATTCTCTGCTTAAGAGTTATGGAATGGCACCAAAACCATAGAGTTCCAAGGCCAGCTGATCAGAAACGAATGAACCAGGAGGCACCTAAGTGGCACAGAACTAGAGAACTAATCCGGAGATTTGGTCCTCCTAACAGCTTTAGATATTCTTTGGCCACTTGATCCCTCTATTTCCAAGTCCAGTTCCATCAGATATATATTCTCTACTAATAATTTCCAGTCCTTCTAATAAGTAGAGAAGCATGGCAGATGAGTCAGAAAGCTGGGCAAGGAAGCCGTCAGCCACTCCTGTACAAAACCCTGAAGATCTACAGATCTGTTCTCCGTTATGAGCTTGGATCTTAGTGTGATCTGAGAGCAAGAGTTTTCAGGGTTTTCTCAATGACCAAAAGTCCCAAGCAGTATGGACAATACAAATTAGGGCAGCGTGAAAAGACCATAATGGGACCAGCAAGGATTCAGTCTTGTGGAAAAATATGCCCGTTTCAGCCTAAGGGGTCCAGAACGGAGGGTTTATTGGGCTTCAGGGAGGGGAAAGGGAAGGTGGAAGAGATCTGAACCCTGCCCAAACTTGAAAGAGGGGCTGCCCACCCCCGCCAAGATAGAAAACAGAAGCCGCACAAGGGGGACATGGGAGACGCATTCACAGGAAGTAGTCCGCAACAGGTTTCTTAGATGGGATCCCTCGAGTTTCTTGAGGGGCTGCTTCAAAGATGATAAATTCTTTCTGAAGGTGTTCATCCAGTTCCAAGATGGCTGCCACATTCCCACATCTGCATATGGAGCAGAGGAAACAGATCAAAACAGGAAGTCCACATTTTCACCACTGCCACACCTCTGGGAACCCATCACCCTAAAAGTTTCAAAGTTCTGAGATTCTTTGCATATAGAACGTAACTTTAAATGAAAACATGCCCTAAGCTAGCAGCACCCAACCACTATTCCTACATCCATCCCCACCGTATCCTCACCGGTAACAGTAGTTGGGAGCAGACCACACAGTAAGAACTGTCTCATTGAAGTGCCACTTGTACCCTTCCATGACCAGCTGATGTGCCCTGCAGATCATGTCAATGTCATTTGCTGCGTTGAATTGTGCCACAACGTCACTCCCAAATAAATAGCCTGCACCTCGAGGACTCACGCCCCAACCGGTAGTGTCTGAAAAGGAAGAAGAGCAAAGTTTACAACAAAATAAAATCTGACGAGTGTTAATCAACTGAAGATAATATCTGCACTTGTCAAGTTTGCAAGTCAGATCTCATTAGCAGTTCTTAAGAAGGAATGAGTTGTAAAAGTTAGACTAGTAGGATTTTGTCGTAAGCCTTTTGCCCTGCTCAAGTACCATACAAATAAAAATCCATTCAACTTTCTTTTTTACCAAGTACTCATAAATGTAATTGGGGGATGGCAGAGAAAAGAATTAAATTTTAATTGGGATTACTGGGTCCAAAATATCAGATGGATCTATGCACCCAAGTAACAAAGGCCCTATTTCTTTATAAGACAAAGGACTAAGAATCACATTTACAGATGGCTCTCCACATCTGCAGGTTTGACTTTTGTGGATTTGATAAAATGTTCTGTTTAGGTCCTCTAGTGGAAATTGACCATAGAGTGTAGGGTTGTGCTCCACAGTCATGTTGGAGAACCTAGAGATTTCTAGAGCGATGTTCTTTAAGTTAAAGAAAGAAAAATAGTGTTTTTCAAATTCACATTTTTCTACTCTTGCAGGGGTCCTAAAACCCTAAACTCAAGTGAACATGGAAGGCCAACTGTATTAGACAACTACCACACAGTACTCAGATCTCTATAATATCCTTGTGATATATTTTCAGCATAGACTAAATAATACACATACTACATTTAATTTGATTAGGTTTTTCAGACATATTAAAAATAACTAGGTATTTTTAATTACAAAAAAATAAGTCAAGCACTGAAATGGTTAAATGGATGCAATGATTCAGCAAAAACTGTAGTTCTATATAAGCAGGTGTATCTGTAGCTTAGTAGGCCTCAGTGTTAGTTCACCTCAGTGTGAGAGAGGTGTCAATTTGAGAGAGCCCTCAGTGTGAGAAGGCTTTAGTGTGAGAAAATGCCTCAGGCTGAAGGCCTTGTGTGTAAAAAGCTACTGTGTGAAGCTCCTGTGTAAGTTCAGTATGAAAAGAGGCATTAGAAAGAAGTCCAGTGTGGAAGCAAAGAAGGAAGTATAAACAACTTTATTTGTGTTATGGAAACCTTGTCCTAGTGCAACCATATTATTTTACTATAAAGAAAAGCCTATGAAAGAGATAACATTGTGTGTTTTTGTTCTTTTTATCACTTTTGGCTACTGGTGCTGGGTCATGCTGCTGCTGAAAAGTTACTCTGCTATACATTTATGGGAAGGGTCTTTTATTAATAAGTTCCTTGCCCAACAAAGTTCTCTACATAACAGCCACTGTTCCTTAGGGCTATAATTCTGCATCAGAATGGAAGCCAGCACAAATGTCTAGCTGCATTGCTATATCTTACTCCTAAAATACATATGCTTATGATAATTTTGCTGGGGAAAAAACCCCATCGCTAACCGAATATTACCATATCCTATACTCAGATTTTACATGCACATGTTCACCATCCTCAGTTATACCTTCAGGATCAGACCAGAGAAGATCACACATGGGACCATCATGAGGCACCTCCTGTTTGCGGTCTATCGTCCTGATCTGGTCCAGCGTTTGGATGGATGGAGACAAACCACCATGGACACAGAAAATCTGAAACAGAAAGAACAACAGATTTGTAAAGCTAATTAGGAAATTCAGGCAGCACAGTAGACCATTGTTCCTTCCTTTCCCAACATCTTTGGTTTCTACTTCCTCACCTCTGAACTCAATTCAGAGGTGAGGAAGTAGAAACCAATCTGAACTCAATCTTACCTCTGAACTCAATTCCGTCTCTACTACATAAAGCACCAAATATACCAGTCAGGCTACATAACTCTTCTTCCACCCACACTTACCTTCCCATCAATGATAGCAGAGAGGCTGAGGTAGTCAAAGATCTCAGTGCAGTAGCGCCACACAGTGACGGAGCCGTATTTCCTCAGGCACTCATCATAAAACCCATACACCTGGGTAATCTGTCTGCTCTCATGATTGCCACGGATCAGGGTGATTCGGTCAGGATAACGGACCTGCAAGGAGAAAAGGTATCAAGTTAAGCTATGGGTATGAAAAGTTAGAACCAGAACTTGGAGAATGTACTCCTATGAGTTTCAGTCTAAAAAAGCAAGCTGTCACCCCATTACATTTTTGAGAGGTATGCAAAGTCTATACTGGAAGAGATAAGAAATGTAAAATATAGATTCTGAATCAAAAGGGTTCCTAACCTTGAGCGCTAGAAGTAACAAGAATGTTTCAACACTATAGAAGCCACGGTCAACAAAGTCTCCCATGAATAGATAGTTGGTCTCAGGCACATCACCTCCCACCTGTAACAGGAAGACAAAAGGTACAAAGTAACCATCTGTGATAGTTATAAAATGATATTATGGTGTTAGGTGGGTAGTAGTACTCACCCTGAAGAGCTCTTTAAGGTCATAAAACTGGCCATGAATATCTCCACAAACCTGGAAAGAAAGATAAGGAAAAACTAAAGAGTTTGCATGACTATATTGTCATAGAATCATAGAGTTGGAAGAGACCTCATGGGACATCCAGTCCAACCCCTTGCCAAGAAGCAGGAAAATTGCGTTCAAAGCATTCAAAACACCCCCGGCAGATGGCCATCCCAGCTTCTTTTTAAAAGCCTCCAAAGAAGGAGCCTACACTACCAGCCAGCCCAGTCCCAAAATACCACTGAACATCCCATGAGAATTTTGACTCACTGTTACTGGGGAATCTACTCTCTGGACATTGCTTTCTTCCACCAAAATCTCTCTGTTGGGGAGAAAAGATACATTATTCTTAACTAATTATACATTTCCCTGCTCCAGAACAAAGATGTCCTGGAGGCCAGAGAGGCCATAAATAATAAACAAGAGCTTTTTAAAAATGTCGCCAACTACTCACCTGGCTTTGGCACAGAGGGCTTTGACTTCACTCTCTTTAATGAGTTCACAGCGCCGTAGTTGTTCAATCTGACGGTCAAGGTCACTGATTTCGGCCATCTTTCCCCCTGTAGGAGAAGAATGTATGCAATTCCTTTTTAAAAACATTCCTCGGCCACATTTCATAAAAAGTTTCCATATCAGTATACTACAGGCCTTGACAATGAATAAAACGAGGACATACAGTAGTGTCTTGCTTATCCAACATAAATGGGCTGACCAAATGTTGGATAAGAAAAAGGTTGGATAATAAGAAGGGATTAAGGAAAAGCCTATTAAACATCAAATTACATTATAATTTTACAAATTAAGCACCAAAACATCATGTTTCACAACAAATCAACAGAAAAAGCAGTTCAATACACGGTAATGTTATGTAGTAATTACTGTATTTAGCACCAAAACATCACAATGTATTGAAACAGCTGTGGATTCGGGTGGGAGGCAGACTGCATTGGATATTACAGAACATTGGAATAGCGAAGGTTGGATAAGCGAGACTCTACTGTACATCTATGATGCCCATCAGATAAAACTAAAGACACCTCCAAATAATCCCCCAGGAGGATAAACCCTAAATGATAAGGACCCCAGGCAGAGGTCCTGTTCCCAGTATGATCTAATTCTTGTAAAGCAGGCATGGGCCAACTTGGGCCCTCCAGATGTTTTGGATTTCCACAATTCCTACCAGCCTTCTTGCTGGGTTGTTGTAGGTTTTTTCGGGCTATATGGCCATGTTCTAGAGCAGTGGTTCTCAACCTTGGGTCCCCAGGTGTTTTGGCCTACAACTCCCAGAAATCCCAGCCAGTTTACCAGCTGTTAGGATTTCTGGGAGTTGAAGGCCAAAACATCTGGGGACCCACAGGTTGAGAACCACTGTTCTAGAGGCATTCTCTCCTGACGTTTCGCCTGCATCTATGGCAAGCGCACCCTCAGGAGGTAGTGAGGTCTGTTGGAACTAGGAAAATTGGGTTTATATATCTACTTGCTATCAGGAATTGTGGGAGCTGAAGTCCAAAACACCTGGAGGGCCAAACCTGGCTCATTCCTGCTGTAAAGAAACTGAAGAAATATTAAAACAGGCAAACAATCAATCAATCAGTTCTTGTGGGTTTTTTCGGGCTATATGGCCATGTTCTAGAGGCATTTCTCCTGACGTTTCGCCTGCATCTATGGCAAGCATCCTCAAGACCTCACCTCTGAGGATGCTTGCCATAGATGCAGGCGAAACGTCAGGAGAAATGCCTCTAGAACATGGCCATATAGCCCGAAAAAACCCACAAGAACTGAGTGATTCCAGCCATGAAAGCCTTCGACAAATCAATCAATCCTTTTATACGAATGTTGGGCCTTCCATATTCTACCAGACTGTGACCTCCCCTTCACCCCTGGCTAATAGTATGCCTTTTATAGTATTCATGGTCTTACGTCTTTATCTATAAATTTTAACAGTGCCCTGCTTTGAAGAGAGATAAGTAACGAGATAAGTAAAAGAGGTAAGTAAGAGAGATAAGTAAAACGTATATCATTGTTGTTATGAGGTAAGAGTAATGTGAGCTGCAATCCATGAGCATCTGAAGGCTCTCACATTCCCCATTCCATCCAAGAATCCATGAACCAATAACACAGTGGTTCTCAACCTGTGGGTCCCCAGGTGTTTTTGCCTACAACTCCCAGAAATTCCCCAGCTGTTTGAATGGAGTTGAAGGCCAAAACATCCGGAGACCCACAGGTTGAGAACCACACAGATGGACTTCTACCAGAATGAAGAAGGAAATAGAGGAAAGACAGTCCAGCCCAATCCTAATTTTCCCCCTCAATAGTCTAACCCAAGCATGGGCCAACTTGGGCCCTCCAGGTGTTTTGGACTCCAACTCCCACCATTCCTAACAGCCTCAGGCCCCTTTCCCGGCAAAGGAAGGGGCCTGAGGCTGTTAGGAATGGTGGGAGTTGGAGTCCAAAACACCTGGAGGGCCCAAGTTGGCCCTAAAGAAAACAAACTAAGCATTCTATGCTGCCTGGGAAGGTGGTGGAGTGTCCTTTTCTGGAGGTTTTTAACCTGAGGCGGGATGGCCATCTGTCGGGGGTGCTTTGATGATGTGCCCCTGCATGGCAGATGGGGGGCCTCTTCCAGGTCTTCCGAGACAGTACCCGAGGGGAGGCCTTTCCCCTCCTCCTCCCAAGGCCCCTGACCCCTCCTCCTTCGAACTCCGGTCTCTATGACAACCCGCCTCCCCCGCCCCTCAACACCAAGGGGGAAGCGAGGCGCATGCGCAGGAGGAGCCTCGCCACTCACTTGGGGTCCCGGCAGAGGCGGTGATGGCTGCTCCGCGGCTCCCTCCGGCTCCGGGCCCGGCCCTTCCCCCTCTCCTCTCCCTTTCTCTCTCTCTCTGCCTCTGTCTTTCCGGCTCTCACTAACTACAGAACACAGGGCGTCACTTCCGCTTCCTCCTTCGACTGAGGCCCAGCTGTGGATGGAGGCCGACTGACTTTCCCCTGATTCCCCCCGGAAGTGACATCATTTTCTCTGTTCTCTTCTTAATTCAAGGCAGGGGTGGGGATTTAAAAGGAGCGGAGGAGGCTCCGGAAGTGACGCAAGGGCGGCCTCTCCATGTGTCGCTCAAAATGTCTCCCGGGCCTACTTCCGGTTTAGCTTTCCCCCCCCTCTTTCTCGACGCTTCCTTGACATTCCAGCTCTTCCCTCCATGATGTTTCATAGGCGCCCATATGAATGCCAGAGGGAGTTTTTTTAGGTGTCATTGACACCACTCCTCCAGATGTTTTGGACTACAACTCCCACAATTCCTAACACCCTCAGACCTTTTATAGCGGGTATGGTCAAACTTGGGCCCTCCAGGTGTTTTGGATTCCAACTCCCACCATTCCTAAAAGCCTCAGGCCCTTTCCTTTTCTTATGGGCCACAACAATTGCAATTATGAAAAGCAAAAACTCTTCACACAGGCCTACAGTAGGCATGGGCCAACTTGGGCCCTCCAGGTGTTTTGGACTCCAACTCCCACCATTCCTTACACCCTCAGGCCCCTTCCTTTCCCCCCTCAGCCGCTTAAGCTGAGGTCGACATGGGCAGGAGCAGCCAGAAGGCGTGGAGGTTGCTAAGACGGCTGAGCAATGACCCCTCACAAACTAATACCCATGCCAACATAAAGGCAGATCAGATAGCACACCAACTCTTGAAGAACGGGAAACCCAACCTTGCCACCAAAATAGGAAAGAAACCAATAGCCAGACAACAAGAGGCCACCAAAGTAGGAAAGAAACCAATAGTCAGACAACCAGATATTGAGAACAACAACCTTCATGAACCCTTTACATCTACTGAATTGGACATGGCTCTCAATAAATGTAAAAATGGAAAAGCAGCTGGCCTGGATGATCTACGGATGGAACAAATCAAGAACTTTGGTCCAAAAGCAAGAGCGCTGGCTGCTGGAGCTGATGAACAACTGCACTGCATCCTGTCAGATCCCCAAAATCTGGAGGAAAGCAAGAGTCATCGCCATCTTGAAGCCAGGCAAAGACCGCAATGACCCAAAAAGCTACAGACCAATCTCCCTGTTGTGCCACCTCTACAAAGTTCTGGAGAGACTTATTTTGCATAGAATTATGGAAAAAATAGACCCATGTCTGATTCCACAGCAAGCTGGCTTCAGGAAAGGCAAAAGCTGCACATCGCAAGTGCTGAACCTGACTCAGCACATAGAAGATGGCTTTGAAAGGCAGCAGATCACAGGAGCTGTCTTCATAGACCTGTTAGCAGCCTATGATACTGTGAACCACCACCTCCTCCTGAGAAAAATGTATAATATCACAAAGGACTACCACCTCACCCGCCTCATAGGAAACCTGCTACAAAACAGGAGCTTTTTTGTTGAGTTCCAGGGCCAGAGAAGTAGATGGCGGAAACAGAAGAACGGCCTGCCTCAGGGGAGCGTGCTTGCTCCATCCATGTTCAACATCTACACAAATGACCAGCCACTGCCAGAAGGGACAGAGAGCTTCATCTATGCTGATGATCGTGCCATTACTGCTCAAGCAGGGAGCTTTGAGATGGTTGAACAGAAGCTCTCCGAAGCTCTAGGTGCTCTTACTGCCTATTACAGGGAAAACCGACTGATCCCTAACCCATCTAAAACACAGACATGCTTTTCACCTTAAGAACAGACAAGCATCTTGAGCTCTGAGATTACCTGGGAAGGAATCCCACTGGAGCATTGCAGCGCACCCAAATACCTGGGAGTCACTCTGGACCTTGCTCTTACCTACAAGAAGCACTGCCTGAACATCAAGCAAAAAGTGGGTGCCAGAAACAATATCATACAAAAGCTGACTGGTACAACCTGCGGATCACAACCAGATACAGTGAAGACATCTGCCCTTGCGCTGTGCTACTCTGCTGCTGAGTATGCATGCCCAGTGTGGAACACATCTCACCACACTAAAACAGTGGATGTGGCTCTTAATGAGACATGCCGCATTATCACGGGGTGTCTGCGCCCTACACCACCGGAGAAATTACACTGCTTAGCCGGTATTGCACCACCTGACATCCGCCGGGAAGTAGCAGCCAATAGTGAAAGGACCAAGGCAGAGACATCTCCAGCTCATCCCCTGTTTGGGTATCAGCCAGCATGTCAACGACTTAAATCTAGAAATAGTTTTCTAAGATCTACAGAGACACTCGCTGGAACACCTCAGCAAGCGAGAGTCCAAAAGTGGCAGGCTCAAACCCAGCACCCCAATCCATGGGTGATACCAGATGAGAGACTCCCCCCTGGGCACACAGAAGACTGGGCGACTTGGAAGGCGCTGAACAGACTGCGCTCTGGCACCACGAGATGCAGAGCCAACCTTAAGAAATGGGGCTACGAAGCTGAATCCACAACATGCGAGTGCGGAGAAGAGCAAACCACAGACCACCTGCTTCAAGGCAGCCTGAGCCCTTCCACATGCACAATGGAGGACCTTCTTGCGGCAACACCAGAAGCACTCCAAGTGGCCAGATACTGGTCAAAGGACATTTAATCAACTACCAAGTTTGCAAAATGTGTGCTTTTTAAATCTGTTTGTTTGTTTAGTTCTCTTAGAAATGTAATAAAATGGTATGGTTGCTGATGACACAATAAATAAATAAATAAGTAGGCATGGGCCAACTTGGGCCCTCCAGGTGTTTTGGACTCCAACTCCCACCATTCCTAAAAGCCTCAGGCCCCTTCCTTTTCTTATGGGCCACAACAATTGCAATTATGAAAAGCAAAAACTCCTCACACAGACCTACAATAGGCATGGGCCAACTTGGGCCCTCCAGGTGTTTTGTACTCCAACTCCCACCATTCCTTACAGCCTCAGGCCCCTTCCTTTTCTTATGGGCCACAGCAATTGCAATTATGAAAAGGAAAAACTCCTCACGCAGGCCTACAATAGGCATGGGCCAACTTGGGCCCTCCAGGTGTTTTGGACTCCCAACTCCCACCATTCCTAAAAGCCTCAGGCCCTTTCCTTTTCCCCCTCAGCCACTTAAGCTGGCCCACGCCTGGGCTACATACATAAAAGTTGCCAGGTTACAGGGCAGGAAAGTGGAGACCAAATCGTACCATCTCTAAGGACCCTTCCACACAGCCCTATATCCCAGAAGATCAAGGCAGAAAATCCCGCATTATCTGTTTTGAACTGGAATATATGGCAGTGTGGACTCAGATAACCCGGTTCAAAGCAGATATCGTGGATTTTCTGCCTTGATATGCTGGGATATAGGGCTGTGTAGAAGGGCCCTAAGGCAAAAATATAGTATCTGCTTATGTTCTTCCTGAGATTTGGGGGGGGGGGGTGTCAAAACTTGGCTCTTTGAGCAAGCTTTCGCGAATGCAGCCAAACAGGCAAATATGGAACGACTGGACGATGGCATTCTCGGTGGTGGCCTCTGGCCCCCCATCTCTGGAACTCCCTCCCCAKGGAGATTAGGCTGGCACCCTCCCTAGCCACATTCCGTAAGGAATGAAAGGAATGAATGTCGTGCTTTCAATTGACGACTCCTATGATAAATGACCTGTATCATGACTTGAATTGTCATTCAATCTGATGTCCTATAGTATATTAACTGATCCTGTTAATTTACTCTGTTTCCATGATTTCTCCTATGCCGTTATCCACCTTACTAAACCACTTATGCTTTAACGAGTTCACGTAGTGGTTTTCCTCCCCCTCTCCAAAATTAGTCTGCTGTTATTGTTGTTGCTAGCTATTATTGTTATGTTGTTTTACACTGTTTATGCTCTCTTAATTGTTTTTGCTTTGTTTTTAATTGTATTCTGCTTTGGGCTTGGGCCCCATGTAAGCCGCCCCGAGTCCCTTCAGGGAGATGGAGGCGGGTTAGAAAAATAAAGTTCTTCTTCTCCTTCTTCTTCTTTGTCTTCTTTTTCTTCTTAAAATAGGATTCCATAGCATTGAGCCATGGCAGTTAAAGTGTTAACAAGCTGAGTTAATGCCACAGTGTAGATGCATTCTTACTCAAGGAATACAGGCAGCCCCTAAGTTACAAACAAGATAGGTTCTATAGGTTAGTTCTTAAGTTTTGGGGTTTTTTGTGTGTGTCAGGAGCAACTTGAGAAACTGCAAGTTGTTTCAGGTTTGAGAGAATTGGCCGTCTGCAAGAACGTTGCTCAGGGGACACCCGGATGTTTTGATGTTTTACCATCCTTGTGGGAGGCTTCTCTCATGTCCCTGCATAGGGAGCTGAAGCTGACAGAGGGAGCTCATCCTCACTCTCCTCAGATTCGGACCTCTGACCTGTCAATCTTCAGTCCTGGCGGCACAAGGATTTAACTCATTGTGCCATCGGGGGTTCCAGTTCTTAAGTTGAATTGGTATGTAAGTCGAAACAGGTTTATTTATTTATTTATTTATTTATTTATTTATTGTGTCAGGGGCAATCAGACAATTGTATTACATTTCTAACAGAACAAAACAAACAGACACAAAACAAAATTTGCAAGCTTGGTAGTTGATTAAGTGTCCTTTGACCAGTATCTGGCCACTTGGAGTGCCTCTGGTCCAGAAGTCGAAACAGGTACTGTAGGGGGAATGGCTCTCTGGCATTCCTCCAGCTCTCTGCACATTGTCAGGAGTCCCCTGGGCTCAAGAGGATGATGTAATGGAAGACACACCACAAATTGAATACCAACTGTGGAAGCTGTTTATTGAGTGCCTAGCTATAGCGACAGAATGCACGGCCCATAAAAGGTCTGTCACACACCTCCAAATAGGGTTGTAAGGCTTTATCACTTTGACAGAGAATTAAATACACATTATCATCAATTAACGATGTCTCTCTCAGTCCATTTTTAGGTATAACTCCAGTCTTGAAAATTTTGGCTTCATCTGGAAACAGTAATTGGGGATAAAACCTTGGTGGAGACACTCCCCCCCCCCCCCCCCCCCCCCCCCCCCCCCGGTGGTGCAATGGGTTAAATCCTTGTGCTGGCAGGACT